CTGCTTCTGCAATAATCTCCCCAGGGACCGTGTGTACAGGACTGTATCACATGTACTACTGTTTCTGCAATAATCTCCCCAGGGACCATGTGTACAGGACTGTATTACATGTACTACCACTTCTGCAATAATCTCCCCAGAGACTGGAACATACACATAGTTCTACTGCTATTTTGCTCATACCAAGGCAAATGCTTAAAAGCAGACAGTCCTCTCTGGCTACTGGGTGAACCTACAAGGCTGTTCCAAATCTCTCTATATACTGGTACTTCATAAAGTAAGTTAGTGTCCCAAAAGACCTAATTGGTTTTTTGCTTTAAAAAAAAAAAAAGAAAAAAAGAAGGTGGTAGTGGTGGTTTCCAGAACTCCTGGTTACTCAATGTACTTAGGTACATGATGACTCTCCGAGAGGGATTCTGGAAAAACACCTCTTTGCATCACACACAACACAGTTTTATGGAGAAGAGTTTGGGGACAGACTTGTAGTATTCCCAGTGTCTCTGCTTATTTCCTCAGGCTCAGTTATAAACCCCATCAAGGGCTTGTAACTTCAGGCTCAGTTATAAACCCAACCAAGGACTTGTAACTTCAGGCTCAGTTATAAACCCAACCAAGGGCTTGTATCTTCAGACTTTATCAGCATTCTCTTTCCCAGTCTGATCAATGGCCATTAACAAACAAATCCATATGCTTTGATCCCATTTCTGCCTGTGCTCATAGACTACCTTAAAACTCTCCACACAAACTGCAAATCACCTTAACTCATCTATGAACCTCATCTGCACCCTCCAACTTGGCCCAGATTCTGGTCTTCAACCACATTTTCAAGACTCCTGGAAACGACTCAATGTCCTGATAGTGGGTTAGCTCCTGATACTGATCCCTCCTGATCATCCCACAACCTAGTGCTGAGAACACATCATAAAATATCTACCTTGTCAGGCTGAGTGAAAAACCGAGCTGGAAGCACTGGGTCTTTAGGAGATTCCAGACTGTATGTGGTGCTCTTTGACATGATGATATTCATGGCCACATCACACACAGTGTACAATTTCTGCAATGGTATTAAAAAAAAAAAAAGGGGGAGGTACTTAAGTTGGCATCTTAGGCTCTGTGAATTAGGAGTAATTCTAGAACATGCATCCAGAATAACTAGTAAACTAATGAAAACAATAGTCAGTGTAAACGTCTTACTGATAGAAAAAGACCATTTGATGTTGTCTACAAATACTACGGGAGTTTCAAACCCCACACCTAAATGCTCAAATCAACATGGAACCATAATTATTTTTACAAGGAATTACATACTTCATTCATTTTTGCATCATCTGGTCCTTGAGCATCTTTTGTTTGTTTAATATTTTCTACCATCTTTCTGATAAATGCATGACTGTTATTTTCATTTTTAGCCATTAGTATTTCCAGAACAAACCAAAGACATCTAAAAAAAAAAAAGAAGAAATATAGAAGAAAAAAGATGCTTTGTTGAATACAGACACAATAATTCTAAATATCAAATTTACAATGTAGATTATAACTCTAAGCAGGGAAAAATGAAAAAAAAAGAAACAGCTATAAATCAGCAAGGGAAAAAATACGCCCCACATACATATTACAACAGGTTAGCAACATAGGTGTGAGTTCCTAAGATCCCTTCTCAAAGTCTCACTCATTTTCCCAGGGAGGTAGGTTAAAAAGGAACATCAATGGTGCCAAGAATGAAGTGACCTTAACCCCCGGCTATGACAGGGACAGAAGACTGCCTAAAGGAGTAAACGGGTCATGGACAGAGTGAGGCCTCAAATACCCAAGACTGACTATCGGCCTGATTAGAAGTCTTCAAGAGAATACAACTACCCTATGCAATCGCTAAGAATCTCCATCAATAAATCAGAGAGGAAAAAGGTCATGGTTGATAACTACACACAGTTTTTAAGAGAGAAAAACTAAAAGAGAGTTTCCATATCCCAGTTTTAAAGTTAATTACATAAAATCTTTTTCAATAAAGAGCCAAAAGTGCTTTGTCACTCTATTACAGATAGAAAGGGACAGAGTCACAGCTGATACACACAGGAGAGAAGTAATGGCAGAAGGAACAGAAAGAAATGTGATGCAGGTATTCCAGGGGAAAAATATAAGCTCTTCTAGACTGGCTCACTTTACTCATGGCTGTACTGGGGCTCTTTAGAAATACAGCCTAAAATGTCTAGCAAATTCCAAGAATAGTTTATTTCAAAAGCCAATGTTCTCTGATAAAGAAGGACAGCTTAAAAGTTTTCATTAGTTATAATCACTAACACAGAACTCACTTTGGGAGAGGTAATTGTGTATTTTTTTTAAAATGTAAACAGTGGCAAAAGGAGAGTAATAGCTTCTTCCCTTGGTATGAGAAGTTATTAGTAATTTGATTTTATTCTTTATGAAGTATCTCAATTATTTATCTATAAAATATGCTATTAAAAAAAAAAAGTTATTTTCCTTAACAGGAAGCTAAAGGCGTAACAATTGATAACTCACAAAGGTCATTCTTTATAACAGAAAGAGGACCAGGTTCTCCAATGTATTTAAAGAACTCTGCTGGTCTTATGAAGGTCTCTCCAAGTACCACCACATCCTCCTATTGCACACCCAGGCACATCTAGTCTGTTCAGTCTCTGAGCAATAATCTACAAAGAATCACAACTGCCTTAAACTCTGCTTAGAGAATCACCAAGGGAGTAGGAAGTGGGAGTGATTCTCTGGTTATCAACCTGGCCCACTATTCAGTTAAACCCTTCTCTCTTCCTATGGAGGAAGACAGTTACTTCAAAGAAAAATGTGCTCACTGTGCAAGTGAAGGAGAGCACTAATTCACTCCACGTGAATATCTACACAGAGTTCAGAAGGAAGTGGGGAAAGATAAAAACTAGAATGGAAACTTTTAATAGATTTGTTCAATATAAAAGAAATGCCAGACTGGTAGAGAAACAAAACTAAAATAAGTGTGCTAAGTTAAATTTAGGGAAAATACACAAGAAATCATGTGACAAGATGGTATGAAGAAAGACAAACAAACAAGAGAGAAAAGAAAGGAATAAAGAAAAGAACCTTAAACTCCTAAGAAATGACATAAATCTAATAAGCCAATTAATTATAGTTAAGATCCCATTAGCAGCAGGCAAAGGAAAAACAGCTTTCAGAAAACATGAAAATGGGATGGAAAAGTCTTACTCTTTAACATCTTTAAGTTGTTCAATATCCTGTACTTTGACATAATCTGGGTCATGTGCCAAAAGGTGAATTGTATATGGAACAACATACTCTGGTAGAAGAGACAATAATTTTTCTGGAAAAAAAAAAAAGAAAAACAAAATAACAACAAAAAAATCTGAGTTAGAAAACCAAATCTTATGCGCACTCTCTCTCGTGCTCTCTGTGATGCTCTATCTCCTGTATCCCAGCAGGTCACCACACCACAGCAGGAGAGAAATACCCTGCAATGCTCAGTGCTGAGGTACATCATAAACAGTTTATTCACCCATCCATCCACATATCATATGTCATACTGAAACGCCTACTAAATACATGTGTTGCTGTTACACAGACAAATATTTCAGTTTCCAAATGCACGTGGAAAAAGTGACCCCCAACAAGCTATATTTACAATTGATAGACTTAACATCTAGTTTTCCTAATATTATGAGTGACCCTATGGTTAACACTTGCTTATAAGCTGCTAAGCAAAATGCAAAACTTCCACTAAAATCTTTCAGTCAATATGGTGCAAAAATAGAAGTAAACATTAATACTGTTTCTAACAGAACAGATATAAAAAGGAATCGACTTACATTAGTTTCTAGCAAATTTTAAAAAACAAAGAAATACCTTCTTAGTTTAAATTCAAATATTTTTTCCTCAAATTTGTTGACTGAGATCAGCACTTTCCTTTGGAGAAGTCAGTGGTAATCCTAATAAACTTTAACAAAGGATATTCAAAAAGATCAAGATTGGTATTATGAACAATTTCTTCTATATTTCCTATTTTCAAAATAAAACTTTATAGCAGATGTTCCACCTGAAGTGTAATAATATCATATGCACCAGTAAAAACCAAATCCGTTGCTGTTGAGTCAATTCCGACTCATAGTAAACCTATGGGACAGAGTAGAACTGCCCCATGGGGTTTTCAAGGGTGTAATCTTTACAGAAGCAGGCTGCTACATCTTTCTCTTGAGGACCGCCTGGTGAGTTCAAACCGCCAACCTTTCGGTTAGCAGCCAAGTGCTTAACTACTGCGCCACCAGGGCACCTTATATGCATCAATAAGGCACCAAATTTTCTTTGTTTCTAGAGCTGAACTGGAAGAGTATAGTCTGTATGTAAACCACTCATTTCAAAGCAAGCATAGAAGGAGGTTCAAAATTTAGTGAAACGCAAATGAAATGAAAGTTATTGAGTGCTGATGATGTCCCAGGCCTACGCAAGAACCAAGCCGTGAAGGTGAGCAGGGTTAGGTAAGGAGTTTACACAGAAGCACGGCAGAGACAGAAGACGCACCTCAATGAGAGGTGCACTGAGCTAAGCACAGCTAACGCTGAGTATGTCTCGGGGGGCCATGCACCATGCCACGTGCTCCATACTCATTATTTCTTTAATCATCGTTAACAACCGTTAAGAAATGAGTATAAACATACCCATTTTTACAAATAAGGAACTCAGGGCTCAGACTGAGTGGTCTGCCCAAACACAAGCAGTACATTACAGAGGTGGGGGTGACTCCAGAGCCCTCGCTGCTTCCAAAAGCAAGACAGGGTAAGACGGTCACCGCCATGTGGCCACATTGAAGCTGTACTGACAACAGTTCAACAGTGCAAACTATTCTCCTTGGTTTTGTTTGTTTGTCTGGAAGGGGGAGGCAATTACTAGATAGAGAGGACAACAGAGCATAAAAGATGGCAGCACACATTTCAAGTGCCCCATGGTTCACAGCAGGGAACGGCTAGAGAGAAAGCTGGAAATCCAAACTCAGAGTGAATCACAAGGAGCCAACTTCAACTTCATCAGATAAGGATGAAGAATCAACACATATTTTAAGCAAAAAGTGATGTGATCTCATGAGTTTTGAAAGGATAACACTGCCAGGAGTGAGGCGCAGCCGCAGGGGAGTGTGCTGCAATAATCCAGTAGAAATACAGTAGGCGAGGAGAGATGTTCAAGACACATGGAGGAGGACTTAACAGGACTGGGTGACTGCTGCCAAGAGGAAGAAAGAAGGCAGGATGAACACCTCTGATTTCTGACTTGGCTAACTGGGTAGATCTTATGCTGTAACAAGCGATACAAGTCAGCGAGGCACACGGACTAATGTGGACGGGGTGACGTGAGCAGATTTAAAAACAGGCACACAGGACCTGAGAGTCACGTCAGCTACAGGGGAGAACAGTCAATCCACAAAGACCAAAGACTTGGACTTTTCTTCAACTAGAAGACAGTGCATGGATGATCTGTATAAATGTACAGATTTTATTCTTCCATTCAAAGTACCTCCGAGATCACTGTTTCATTTCCTTGGCCACTTACTCATTTACATCAAGATACGAGTTGATATTTAAATAGCCATGCATTCATATTTTTAAAATGGCCTTTCTAAATGAAAAGCTGTTACTGAAAAATGGTAGCATCTTATTTACTGAGTCCCAATGAGAATCTGATAAAGAACGGTGACATCACTTTGCGTTCTACGCGCCGGAAGCCGGCAGGCTGCAGGCTTACCGCTCACGGCGGCGTGCTGCTTCAGGTACTCGCGCCTGACGTTGATGTTTTTCACCAGACACTGCCTGGCGTGAGCTCTTCTCTCCTTTACGGGATCTTTCGCACACAGTGCACAGATGGCCATGTACTCCAGCGGAAGCCGTAATCGGGAAAGGCCTTTGTGAAGTTTCTGAGCAAACACTTGTCTTACTTGATAGCACTCATCCTGTGAAGACAAAATTATCCCGGATATGACCCCCATGGCAGCTAAGAGTAACATAAAAGAAGGGCAGACTGTAGCAAGCTTATCCACAACCCCTGCTTGGCTCACATGACTGCCATGCTGAGACTCAAGGTAACGTCAAGTCTGAGTGTTCCCCCTGGGTCCGAATAACCACTAGTTACAGATGTCAGAAAACTTTCAAACCAGATAAAACTCGTAAATATAAATCCATCCTCACTTAAACAAACAAGACATAAAAAAAAAAGCTTAAACACTCATTGTTTCATATATATAGCCTTTCATTTACTGAGCAAGATAAAACTGCCCAATTTATATATTTTAGTTCTATCATTTAAAAAACTATTCAGATTAAAATGCACAGCTCTGAAGGTAAGAGTTACTAATCAATTTCAGAAACACCACACTACTTTTGGCTCAACAGGCACACCACACTGTTGGTGACCTCTGTGCCTGCCTTCTTTGTACTCCTCCCCGCAGGAACGCCCAGCCCCACTTGCCCAGCTGAGCCCTACTCCTTAAAGGCAGCTCACACATCTTCCAGAAAGCAGCCCAGGCTCGGAATCCTGCACCCACGCTGGCATTCTCTTAGCACTCTGCACACGTCTCAGCACAGCACGCAGCGTAGGGTCTGAAAACGTCTCATGCACCAATGGTAGTTCCCTCAGGACAACACTATGTCTTCATGCATCTTTGTATCTCTAACACCTAGCACGAGACCTGGCACACGGACCATGAGATTTTTTTCTACACTATAGGAAAAAGCCCAAGCTCTTACTTATGACTTACCAAGATCTTTATGATTACCGTATTTTTATGAAAATAATGCCCGCCTTCTACATCTGTTTGCCAGCCACCCCTCCGCCTGCAAGGTATTTTCATAAGCGTGCTTTGCTAATTTTTCTTACAGCAACATGTAAAATAAATCGACATAGCTGTGCTTATGAAAATACCTCGCAGGGGGCGGGCACGGCTGACAAACACAGAAGGCGCACCGTATCTGTGTAAAAATACAGTATACTTTACTCCACCCGATTCACATACGATGTGATGTGTTCCGCACTATTGCAAGTTTATATACACTGTTTCTTCTATCTGGAATGATCGTTTAGTTTTTCTTCTTCAAAACCTAGTTCATGACATCTTGCCCTTCTCTTTGAATCTTTATTTTGTGTATCTTCTTTAATTTAAACTTCTGTTTATTATAATACCAAATACCTACTTTAAAAATGGTAATCTAAGTTTCACAGAAATATTGTCTGAGTTGGAATCGACATGTCAGCAACCGCAAATCCAACCTCACACTCAACAAAACTTCCTCAGTACTACTCTCATGGGGAAGGAAGGTCTTCCTTATCCAAGTATTTATTATGAAAACACAATTATAAACTGCATTAAAAAAGTAAAGGTCAACGTATCACAAATATACTCACAAATGAACAGACCTTTTATTAAAAAATTATAGACCACTCATTAGAAAATTAATCTCCACTCAAATATCGCTCCCTATTTAGATACATCCCCACCCAAGCCTATGTTTTTTGCTCCTTTCTCACTATTAGCTCAAGATCCATCAATACAATGCAAATTATTTACAAAGTCAATCTGTGAATCATGGGAAAAGCAGTACCATTTCAAAAAGTCATTCAAAGTGATGTTGGGGAAGAATTGTCAAATTATAGGCAAGGCAACTGAAGAACAGTTAACAACTGAAGTAGAGTTAACAACTGAAGAACAGTTAACAACCGATGAACAGTTAACAACCGAAGAACAGTTAACAACTGAAGAACAGTTAACAACCGAAGAAGAGAAAACTGACAAAAATGATGGACAGTAGGTGCTTCCAGAGAAACATCTGAATAAAGAAGGAAAAGGGGCCCACTGGGAGCTGAGGACGCCTGCAAACTGTTTCTGCAAAGGGGAGTGGGCTGTGTTATAAAATTTAAATGTGAAGTAAAGGATATGGTAATATGATTTTATCAGAAAAATTATACTCTCAAAAATGCAAACATTTGATTCTTTTGAGACTGTAATTATAACCAATAACTGGATAAATATAAGAGAAAAAAAGATGGTGTTTAATACTAGAAAGTTTTCTACCCCAAGATAAAATTCCAATCAAAGCTTTTATTGACTATTGACTATCAAATTAATGCTGCTTTTCATCTTAAGCAAACTCATGTCTAGTGCCCTTCTCTGTATAATTATCCTCAGAACCACTTCTAGTCCCTGTACGCAGTTCCCTCACTCTGTGTATCGCATTATACTACAAACACTTATTTACATTCACTTTTTCCTTAGACGTTGTCCGCTTCTTGACGGCAGTGGCGTGACTTTCTCACCTCTGTATTTCCAGAAACTACAACAAAGCACAACACGTAGCAATGCCGAGGAAAGGTCCGATGGTGGACTGAATTCAAATTCCAAAATACCTAAGCAATTACTAAATTATGTCAAGATTCATATTGTCAAGTCTTGACTCCTCCAGACCTACTTTCAATTCAAATACATGGTGAGGGCCCGCAAGACACAGCACTGCCTTGAAAGAGGCTCAACTCGAATCAGAGAACTAACCCAGACAGACAGACACGAGTAGCTGAAGCACAAAGCAAAGTTCAGTCCGTCTAAGAGGACTGCAGACATAATACTTAGGGAACTGAAAGGATAGGGAGATCACTTCCAGCTCTAAGAATGAGAGAAAGTTTTGTGAAGAAGGTTGTGTTGGAGTCTCACTTTGCAGAAAGGTTTGGGTTTGGATGTGTAGAGATGGGAGGGTGAGAAGAAAATTCAAGATAGCAAAGTACAAGACACATGAATGAGGACAGGTAAATTGGTAGTGTGCTAAATAAGATTTGTAAATGTCTATTTGGGTCCAAATATTAGAGGGGCTTGACTGTCAGGCTGAAAAGTAGTATCATTTCTTTTTTTTTACCAGTATGAGCCCCTGAATACTTCTGAACAGGAAAATAACATGACCAGAGCTGTTTCCTTTTCAGGAAATTCATTCTGTAAGGAGAAAGTCTCGCGATAGTCCAAGTGAGTGCTAACAATGGTTACAGCAACAGGAGTGACTGACAGGGTGTGAAGAAGAGAGATAGAAGCAGTATCAGCAGGCAGACTTTCTGGACTTTTGCAGTGCTGTGCAGGAACAAGCAGAGTCAAATAGGATTCATGCATTTAAGTCTAAGAAATGCCGTTCAGATTTATTTAACATTTATTCAGGCTCTCCATGCTGGGAAAGAACAGACTTGGGAAGATTATAAATTCAGTCTCATATTCAGGGAACATAAACATGTGAAATTTCTGTTTATCATCTGAAATGGAACCAGAGACAAATGTTGCTGGCACAGGAGTCACTCACATAGAAGATGAGATGGCCAAAGAAGAACATATAGATGGAGGAGCTGGCCACGGACAAACCCCACAGAACACACACACAAGAGGAAGAAGAGCCAGAAAATGTAGTCAGAGAAGCGAGACAAAAACCAGGAGACAGAATCCAAAGAAGAGAGTTTCCAATGTAAAGGTGCAATGAGTGGTGAGAGGCAACAGAAAGGAGGCAGACAACCAAGACTGGGATAAGGGGCTGGGTGATGTTAACAGGGCGTTCTGAAGAAACAATGAGGGCAAATAACAAAGCAGGAGTAATGAGGAGTGAGGGGTACAAGGTAAGAGAAACAGGATGCAGATTGAGCCTTGGAGGTATAAAGGGAGGGAATAGGCATGTGCCTTAACGAAATAGCAGAATTAGGAGAAAGTTTTATTTAGAAAGGGGTAAAACCTGGTGTTTGTAAGTTGTGGGAAGATGCTCATAACTAACTTTGAAGAATTAACACATGTTCCACACTCAACAGAATTCCAAAACAATCTTAAAATTTAGGCAATTTCATCTTGGGAAGTTGGTAACTGAGGTGGCAATATATTATAAATATTATGCTAGAAAGAAAAGTCCACAGAAATTAACATGTATGGACTCTTTTCATACACGGTGAACATTTAACTAACAGCTGGCGCATACATATTAAACAGAAAGTTTCAAAAAAAGTCCATCTCTTTTATATATTTCCATTCCTCCTTGGTTTTTTAACATTTCTACTTCAATAAGGACAGCACCAATATCCCAAGAGACATCAGACCAAGAATCTGACACATCAACAGACCGCAGTACCGCCATTTCTTTAGGAAAAAACAAAAACTGCATAGGTAATTCTTCTAAGAAATTTAACATACATTTAAAATTTTTTTTCACTTTCTTACAAAATAGGATTATCCCAGAATTAACTGGGAAAACTAAACCATGAAGCTATTGGTTCCCCACAAATCTCATTTCTCACTTTGTCTAATATCTGAACAACATTAAAACTAAAATCATAAGCAAGATTTAGGACAGGTGTTTTAATGACTGAAGTACTAGAAATTGGCAAAATAACTGCAATTAAAAAACAGATGACAGCTGAGCCTAGAGGGAATCCATAAGCAGCAATTTTAAAATAAGTCGTAGAAGGAAGAGAAGGAGGAAGGGGAAACAGAGAAACTACAATGATCCCCAAAGTATTCAGATAAACACTATACGTAGTCTTATACGTAAGACTACTCGGAAAAGAACAAGAAAACCAAGTGAAAAATAAGCAAATCATGAATGAAAACCTCACATCGGAATATCATATTTACTATTATGAAAAACCTTTTTCTTTAATTTTCTCGATGGTGCTAAAAATGTGTGAAGTGACTAGCTCAAATATAATATATATGTTATTCTAACATGAAATCTGTAAGACTGGAATATAAAGCCAAAACTAAGTTATCATGGTTAATTTGAAATTTTAATTCACTGTGTAATAAGAAATGCTTCTGATCTGAAATTAGTATAGCCCATGTCATTACAAAAATATAAATTTCTATATTTTTTGTTTGTTTAATTAGAACTAAATACTATTAAAAACAAAAACAACCCACCCGCTGTCGCTGAGTCGATTCCGACTCACAGCGACTCTATAGGACAGAGCAGAGATGCCCCATAGGGTTTCAAAGGAGCACCTGCTGGATTCGAACTGCTGGCCTTCTGGTTAGCAGCCACAGTTCTTAACCACTACAGCACCAGGGTTTCCTATGACGCAAAAAAAACAACAACACTGCCGTCAAGTCAATCCCGACTCACAGCCACCCTATGTGACAGAGCTTTACTGTCCCATAGGGTTTTCTAGGCCTCAATCTTTATGGGAGAAGACTGCCAGGTCTTCCTCCCAAGGAGCCACGGGTGGGTTTGAACTGCCGACCTTTCAGTTAGCAGCCAAGCATTTAATTACCGCACCACCAGGGCTCCTAAATTCTATGTTAGCAACCAAAAACTCAAATGACAGTTTAAGTACACTGAAATGTTTCTCATACATAGATTTTTCAGAAGGAGATATAAACATTCAAGATTTTTACTATCTATCACGGTGAACATTTTTCTTCCTAAAAGTCAAAGGTCAGACAAGGTGACCAGGTTTCCTTACGTTGACAGCTAGTGCAGACAGCTGGGACTAGAAGTCAAAGGTCAGA